TCTTCTCACAGTTCTGGAAGCCGAAGTCTGAAATCAAGGTGTCGTCGGGGCCATGCTCCCCCCTGAAGCCTGTGGGGAGAACCCGTCTTGGCCTCTCCCAGCTTCGGGGTTGCTTGGCTCATGGCCACATCACTCCAATCTCTGCCTTGTCGTCATCACAAGGCCTTCTCCTCGGGTGTCTCGGATCTCCCTCTGCTTTTCTAAGGATACTTGTCACTGGATTTAAGCGCCGCCCCCCCCCCACCCCGGGAAACCATAATGATCTCAAGATCCTTAACTTATTCACATCTGTAAAGACCCTTCTTCTAAATAAGGTCACGTTCACAGGTTCCCCAGGGACATATATTTGGTGGGGCGGGGACACCATTCAAACCACTACAGGGTTACGTGAGGTTGAACTAGGAGCTCGGCCAAGGCCTGGACACAGTAAGATGTTGATGAACGTTAACTATTACCTTGATCTCGCTCAGCCCCCACAATATTATTAAACGTTTCGAGTGAGTTGCCTACCTTTAAGATTCGAGAGCTTTCACATGAAAATGGGGATTTCTCGAGAAAAATCAAAATATTTGGCATCGTGGGGCCGAATTCCCACAAGGCCACGGTGGCCTGAGAAGTGACTGCCCTTCAAAAGGGTGTGCCTTTGCATCTCCCAGTTCCTCAGTGTCACCTGCCTGGCCCCAGGGGCACTGGAGTTTGAGTCTCCTGGATCACGACTGTCCTGCCGATTGTTGCAGCGCCGCTGAGGGACGCGGGACTTCAGGCCTGGCCCTCCTAGGCCAGGTGACCCTGGGCAGGCCCTTCCCCCGTGGACCTCAGTCTTCACATCAGTGAGATGGAGGAAGCTGCGCGATGAGTCCACAGGCCCTCCTCGGTGAGCGGTGGGGTACAGGCAGGAGACGGGCATGATGTTTGAGGTAGACAAGGACGTACTATGGCAGACAAACTGCCATTCTCCCATCCTCAGTCCTGGCTGCGTGTTAGAATCACCTGGATAATTCTCATTTTAAACACTCGTGACCAGGCCCCAATCCACTCCTAAGGAGGTTGCTCTTTGCTTATAGAGCAGAGCTTTAGCACGGTCTTCAAGACCTTTATTCCTCCCAAGAACTCTCTCTCGTTCACTCATTCATTACCTTTATTCCCCTCCCTCTCCAC